GCCTTTAAAAAATAAAAATGACGATGAAACAATATCTTTAAAAGACCAAAATAACTCAAATGAAGATTTAGATGGTAACATTGACGAGTTGACGACGCCACATAATACGAAGCGGCCATTCGCTCCTGTAATAAGGCCTTTTGCCTCACGAAACCGGCCCACATTCGCACCAAAACCAAAAACAGTAGTCCCAAGCAGTGCGACAATTATAACTAGATCGGACATCACACCCACTATTACAGCAACACCTGCTTTAAAATCAGCCGGTAGATATACTTCTTCGCGAAGGGGTGTTATATCCAATGTACCAATTAATCCGAACGAGTCAAGTTTATCCTATGGTCAGTCATCAAGGCGTCTGTTTGGGCGGCCAACTAAGTCTTTGACTAGTTCAATAGATTCGAATGCGACTCAGAAAAACCGTTTTGTGTCATCATCACGGGCGGTGGTGGCTTCCAGACGACCCAATATAAATATTTCTTATCGTTCATCCAGTGTTCCAGGTTTTCGTGCGTCTGGAATACAACCCATCTCGAGGCTACGCATAAAGCCAACCAACTCAGGGTTGGTACCAAGCGATAGGTTGGCACAGTCTACAAGTTTAGCCAAAGAGCTAAGTTCAGAAAGTAGTGGCGAAGAGGAGAATTCAACAGATGAAGTAAACGAAGAGGATGAAAACACCAGACGAACTAACAATCCACTTCTGAGATTTCGGCGGCCTATAAATGGGCCCATCGGATTTACTTCGGGATTACGTCAGAGTACTGGCAGCTCTTCAGCAGTTTCTCTCAGACGAAACCCATTAACACCCCGGTCAAAAACTTCGACTACAACAAGCAGCACAACAACAACGACGGCCAAGCCCCGTCCTCGAAGCTTTCAGAGACCTGTTGGTCTTCAGCCAAGATCGAGACCTCAAAACGCCCTTTTCCCACCACGAGGACTTTTCCAAAACGTGCAGAAGGAAGAAAGTCTTAAGGAAGTAAAGTCAAACGATAGTGAAAATGATTCTGAACATGAAGACGATGACGCCAATAACGCCGAAGATGATGACTTGCAGGAAAATTTTTTCCGTAGCAAGCGGTCTATCCACTTTTTAGCCCGCCCTAAAATTGGAATGAGAGTACGTCGGCAAGCCGATACAGTTAATAGAAATAGATTCAGATTTCGTCGACAAAACCAAACAGCGCCGCTTACAAAACAAGAATCAAACCTCCCGGGCTCTGACGATCGTACTGAAACCACATCGATTCCCCGTGATAAATCAAGTTCCAGATTCGGATCAAGATTTCATTCTCCACAGGGACAGCAATTATACACACAGACAACTCTAGTGGACTCAACGACAGCGACCAACCATAGATCGATTCGTCCCACTAGACCAACAGCGAAACGTTCGCAATTTACGCTGAGAGAAAAAGACGCCACTTTAAAAAGCACTTCACGTTCAAGTTCAACTAATAACTTCCGACGTCAACCGACATCTGGAAACGCTTCAATTAGACGTCCTGTTGCTTCCAATGCAGGGAATTTAAGCAGCCGTCGGTTAAAGAGCTATGTTGGCTATAACAACCAAAACAATGGAGACCACGGGCGACTCCCAAGTACGCCGCGTTCCAGAAGTTCGAACTCTAATGCATTAAATAGGGGAAGAGGTCGTGGCCGAAGTCGAAACGAATACTCCGCTGACTTGCAATCCATTGAACATGAAGTTCAAACTATTACAGTTACACATTTTATACCATCTGAGGTCACGGTACCAGTAGTCAGCGGCCACGTAACTGAGTACAAAAATATTGTCACTGCTAAAACCAGCACTGAGCTTGTGGGACCAAAAGAATATACGCAAGTGTTAGGGACAAACGGATTGAGTTCTACTTACTTAAATCGAGAAGTATCGAGCATAAATATTGCTGGTGCCACAGAGCACACAAAATATTTGCTGCATGAATCCATCACAAGCTCGGTAATTTTTACACCAACCACAATCCGCGGGAGAAAGACATCTTTCTCACATATTATTCCATCTACAGCATATTCTGTAGAGTATCTAGTAACTACAATACAGCCTCAAATTTCTGACAATGCACCCCTTGCTAACATATTGCTTTCCCAGCTACTTTTGGGAAATTTAAATTTACCCGCCCATCCAATAATAGGTGCTGTCGGGCAGCAGCCAAGTGCTGCATCGGCCCTAATACCCACGTCTGTTGAGCCTGTCACTGAATATCGCACTCACACCTCCACATATGTAACTACAATATTTGATGGGAAGTCAACCATTCTTCCAGTGACATTTCAAGGAAAAAAAATTCTAACTACTGTCTATGACACTACTGCACAAACAATTACAGCTACAGAATATAGTGTGGATACCATAGTGAATACCGTCCCCTTTGCTCAGAATGTACACTCTGTTGCACCGGCTGCACAGGTAAATAATTTATTGTTGCAACAGTTACTTCAGCAACAACAGGAGTCTTTGTCATTGGTTCAAGCGATATCGAACACTCTACCACCACAAATATTTTTAAGTGAAAACCTGCAAGACTTGGACGATGTTCCACGATCGTCCATAAAACCTGATGGCATCGATTCAGATTTTGCCCCAATAAGCAATGAGTCTCAGCTTACAAAAAGCCAACGAAAGAAATCCCGAAAGGCAGGCAGTGGGCACAAGCGCAGTAAACAAAGTCATACAGTTGCGGAAAAGCCAGACCCAAACGTAGTAACACTTTATGTTTCGGGCCGTAGACCAGGCGAATTTAGTACAGTTCTGTCAACCGTAGGAAGCGAGTATGATCACTCAGTATCTTTGCAAAAGAGGCAAGTAATTTTAAAAATTCAGCCTACCGTTGCTTCTATAGGTAACAAGGAATATTTTTACTACACCGAAGAGAGTGAAGATTTAGGAAAAGAAGAAGATCATCTATCAAAAGATCAAATTGCCTTTTCGACGGTTGAAGTTGGATTTAACGAACTGAGCGATCGAACTGCATCTTTAGAAAGCATTGTAGGGGATGTGCATCTTTGGTATGCAAACTCGAGCAGACAATCCGAACTGTTGTCGACAACAATCAATTCAATAGTGGTTTGATTTCTTCAATTTATTTCAATTTGTTCATGAATTTTTCCCTTTTACAAAATTCGCTAGCCCAGCGTTAATTATTCATTAAATTTGATAAAAGCGAAATAAGACCCTCGCCTTTGGAAGACAGCCGAATACTAGTCAACGATTAAAAAATTATCAACAGGAGTCTTCTTCAATGCCCAACTATGCCTGATTTTAAACAATATAAACATTATCTTTGCCTACTTTAATTCATTATGCTTACATGTCTTTACACCTTTAAATGAAATTAATTCAATCTAAACATTAAACTACATTAAAATATACATTTCTGTTAGAGTTAAGCTTATTGCCCGGAAGCTTGCACTAAATAGCGTCATTATTCCCATTATTTTGACTGTCACCTTAAAGTTTACAGTTAAGTCCACTCAAATTGGCAACCTCTTTATATTTTGTAATAAAAAGTTAAGATTAAAATACAACAAATGTTAGCATTTTAAACATTTTTGAAGTGCATATTACAAACATGTTACCGATCCGAAAAACATTGTATCTATAAATATACCTAACATATATATAAAATAACGAATTAGGTACAAATAAAAAGCCAATGAATTTGTAAATCAACAACTACTTTCTCCTTCCGCATTCTTGGGACCTTTTGGAATTTAAATTACTCGATTTTCTGAACATCGTAAAAATAGCTCTTTGAGAATCTGCAAATATAGTCTTAGGAAGAAGACCATATGGCGGGTACCATAATTTAATTTATGTAGTATAACGTTCTGATTTATTTTAGGCAACTGGTTAGCTAGTTTATTCATGTAAGTGTTATTATTTTTTGGTAATAAATATACAGTGGCCTAGTTTCACAATACCAATATCGAAAGCTGAATTATATGTACATATGTAAAAATGGAAATTTATTCAATGTGTTCTACTAACTTCTTAAAAATGTACATACATATGAACAATAAAAAGTAATTTACTATGTTTTTAAGTGTCTGCGTTCATTTTTTTAAGGGAGTTGATTATTTGAAGCATTCATTTATGATACCTATTCTGCAATAATTTAACGGAAACAATATCTTTGTTCGGGACCGGTTCAATATATATATATATATAAATAAAAGCAAGTACATTCTTATATTGATTTCCGTCAGCGCAGTTAAGATTAAAACTGCCAGTTCCAAAAAATATGGTACTTTATTTTTAATTACTTTCTTATTTTAGAATCAGATCAGTTTTGCAAATATTCAGAACTGAACCTAATAAAAAAAAATTAAAACTTAAAACTTTTTTCGGAAAAGGTAATGGAAACTAATAAAGGTATGTTTATGTTTACGTTTATTTATGATTTATGATTTTTATGATTTTTAACCAATTAAGAACCTTTCCGTACACCGAAGAGTGGTTCCAAGGACACGAAGAAAGTTCCTTCCTACATATTTAAAATATTGTTCAATAACTGTTCTCAAAACGTTGAATATGGCTTTTCATCTTTATTTTTTGTATACAACCACAAAAAACACATAGAGCAGGTGTAAAACTCGATTCCCCAAAAATGTAAAGATATATATATGTTTGTTCGTTCCTTGCTCTCTTCCTATTTATTTACACTCAATGCAGCCGACAACGCCCATAAAAATTAAAATTATTTAAATTGTCTTTTGGAACCAATTTAGCTTACAATCGAAAAAACGTTTCTAGTATCCAAGCACATAGCAGGAGCAGGACAATCCAATATAGGTACTTACAGGATTATGAAAATGAAGTTTTGTATCGCTCTGATTCGGAAAAAGCAATGGATGAGGCCAGATACAAACTTGGCACTCACGTTATGTCAAATGGAGTAGAACTAATAATTGCTAGTGAAAAAGGAAAACCTATTGAAAAGATATTGGTGAACTCGCAGCTAAATTCAACAACACAACATTTACACAAGCCCTTCACTCTGGCCCCAAGCACGCTTACAAATCAGATGATTTTAACATTGCCTTTAATTAAACAGGTAATACTTTAATACACCATATCAAGAATATTCAAATGTCGATAATTCATCCCATAGGACACACTTATTGTTCCCGATCATTCATTTATCACAAAAATTTGTCTTACCACTTACACTTATCGCACAACCTTTGTTGAAAACGGAAGCACCAAAGTGGCTAGCAAGGAAATGGTTATATCAAACAGTCTCACGGAAGAGCGGAAGTATCTTCACGCAAGTAATCCGATAGTTTCAGAAGTTACTTTCTCAAGGGTAAGCAAAATGCATAATATAATTGTATAAGCCAATTAATTGATAAATCATTTTTTAATGCACTTAGACCCCAGAGCTAGTTGTTGGAATGTTCCCAACAACTTATCACTATTTTAACACGATAGACGGAGGCCAAGCGGAATTAACCCCAATAGTAGTCACATCAAAACATACTATTGTTAATACAATCACGAGACCTGGACATCTTTTGACTTTCTTACATTCATCCAAAGAACTTTCGCCCACCATAAATACCTACTTCAGTAAAATATTGCTTACCAAAACCGTATACAATGGATTTCAATCACCGACATATGTTACAAGCAAAAATAATCTAACCCAAGTTGTTATCACAGAGTCAACTCCAGCAAAAATTTCAACCTATATTTATAGAAAAGGAACACATTGTGATTCAATTTTGGACAAAAATACTATATCAAAAGAAACTGAAGATCTGATTATATACTCAACTACAACCTTATTAGAAACATTAACTTTTTGTTCAACCATGTTTAGAAGTAGACTGACTGGAACAGCTTCATACATTGATACTAAAAGGACAGTCTGTAAAAGTGATCCAAGTATTCCTACCCAACACGAACAGCTTCTTACTCACGTTATGAAAAATATTGTTACTAATACTGTGAGCAGTTCTTTGTTTAACTCAGACCTATTGGTTTCCTTAAAATCCGAGCTTATGCTTAAAAAGGGAAAAAACCAACGCCCAACTATTGTTACAATGGCCACTTTGTTGGGAGGTGAAATCGTTCAAGTAACTGCCATGAATATCATTGAAACACCAGATACATTGAATAGTACTGAGAAAAAATTATACTTTAGCTCTAAGCAACCAAACTATTCTAAAAATATCAGCAAGATTTTAGAAAAAACAGCCCTTTACATGAATCCTATTTATGAGAAAAATAATACATTATCATCATCGGAGTCTGAAAACAGTGAGATCTACATAGAGGATAGTACTAAGCCAAAGCCTGGACAGTATAGTTCTTTTGCATCCTCGCAAGTCAGTGCAAGCGGGAACGTAAATTTAGAACGATTTCGCCCAATGCTTAATGTCGTAGCCCACCTTTTAAAAAAACAGTTGAATTATACACAAAATCTAGAAAAAAACCGCCAGACATTTACTAAAGAAACAAAAAATAGCAAAGCTTCTTCCAATAAGGGTTCTGCAAATGATACCCAAACGTTATCTGCAACAATGGAAAATCCAGTTTACATTCCTTTACAACAAAATGAAAGTGGTACAAGTAAAATAAAATACTTGAACTCGAGAGTCATAGAACAAGAAAATGCAGATAGTCTGGGCAAACTAAGAATTAATAGCTTACATATATACCCACCAAAAATGGACGTAAAGAAGAACTTTTTAAGAGCTACTCTAGCCAAAATGTCGTATCCCCGAAATTCTGTAGATACAGCAAAAGTGTATAGCAATGTGTTAGTTAATACCGGTATTCCTATTAGACCTGGTGAGGTTATAACGGCCAGTGCTAATGTTATTTTTGGAAGGCCAAGCATGGATATAAGTGTTTCTCGCACTAAGTCAAATGGCAATACAACAAGCTATCATCACTCAACTGAGTTAACATCATTGTACTCTGGTATTCCCTTCCATTCCACTATGTTACACAATTCTCTTTCAAATAACAAGAGGATTGTGATAGAATATGCCAGTATATTGAAGCCTCCACCGCTACCTGTAAATAGGCCAATACTACTACATTATCCATCCACATTTCAGTCTCAATTGGATAGAACAGTTGGCAGTCACAGGTTCTCACGCATTGATTTGGTACAAAAATATTCAAGCAGTGATCGTTACTCTTCTCAACCAGCAATAAGCTTGAATTCAGCATTTTACAGCAATCAAATTTTACACATTTTTCGAAATCCACAGATATTTGATACAAGCCTACCAGCTAGTAAAAATTATTTTAGCATGTCAAACACCTTTGACTACTCTTTTGTAAATGATTGTTCTCTAGACAAAATAAAACCAACCCTGCCATACAGAACGCCCTTAATTGCTTCTACATTTACGGCGCTTCGACAAGTCAACATGAAAAATGACGTTCTTAGTCATACAGTTAATATGCATGCCCGCCCACTAACATTTAAAGGGGAATCTGAGAACATTCCGTATGCAACAGCCGTACGAGGACATATTAATAGCTTTTTATTAAATCGCATCAAAATACCTATAAGCGACGCTAAGATTGATATTCAATTAACACACAACCATAAGAGGCTCTTTCCCGTGGAGTATAAAGATGTAACTCCGAAGGAGGCTTTCACCAAAATTAAACTACAAAATGTTAATTTAATTAACTCAGAGAATGCTCAGCATGGCTTTTCCCTTGAAAACATGAAAAAACAAATCGGAACAAACAAGTACACTTCTTTCTATAGAAATGAATTTCCCTCTCAATTTACTTTAAACTTGATAAGTGCGAACGACTCGTACGGTACATATGGTAACCCAACTATGGATATCAATGGAGCAATTCATGAAAAAGTGAAACAAGGTACTGTGCCAGATCAAAAAGCAGAGCACTCAAATGAATCTTTGAATTCTGTAAGGTTCAACTTTACCAAAAAGTATGATCATACTGAAAAGACAATTTCCAATAAATTAGCTTCATTGCCTAAGAGTAACGAAAAACGCACAAAATATGTTGTGTCTTCATACAAAAAGCTTGAAACCAGCCATTCAAATAAGGGGTTTCAAGCCACAGGTGAACAGTTTCATATAGGACCTTTTACGGAGTATACAATTAATCCTGAAACTTCTAAAATGGTTCCGAGGATAGACATTACGAACACTGTTCACTCAACGCATTCGGGCTCTTTGCATCTTGTCGGACGGCCTCAACTAAGATCAATTTCATCTAAGGAGTCGAAGTCCCTTAGGTTTACGTCGAACGACGACCTTAAGTTAAAAACATCTTCAGTGAAAACTATTAGTAGTCACCAATACAGGTCCATCATACCAGTCACCAATGTAAACACGTTTACATTAATAACAATACGAGAGCCGCTTTCTGAATCTAATAAAATTATGAATGGTTCGACCTTAGGAATAAAATGTCAGTTCAAAGAGTGCAAAAATAATTTGCTTAAAGCGTTAAAGGACGATATCAAAATACTGGAACCATCTGAAATGTTACAGGATGAAAATAGTTCTTTTTCAAAAAAAACAATGGAATGGGATAAATTATCAATGCATGTGAGAAATTCGAAGACAATTAATCATTTGATTTCAACCTCTTATACACGGAATGCAACAAATTATTTTAATATATTAAAGCCCACCAAATCGAAAAGTATTGGTACAAAGAACTTATCTGTAATCATAAATAGTTTCGATGTAGACCCAAAAAATATGTCCATTGGCCACGCGAAAAGCAAAATAAAAGACTCGATTTCTATTAGGCTACAGAAGGTACTAACATCTTTAAGAACATACAAGCAGTCACAGATCAGTCAAATGTCTAAACATTTCAAGGAATCCGACTATCTAGTGCAGCCATCTAAAGACATAATTGGACCCAGTTCCTCAAGGGCTGTTGATATTATTCAAGAGCAAAGTAGTCTTAGATATTCGAAACACTCTGATTCAAGAAACTATTCGAGCAATCTTTTCATTTCGGACTCCAACGCAGATGGGGTTAGCTATGCTTCCAGCGAATCAAACAGTATACAACTGAGTACCGGTATTGTTGATTCCCTTGCGCAGACGAATTATTCAAAAATAGTTTCGGCGGGTGATTGCCATCCCCCATGCAGGTCAAATAAAAATGAAATTTGCGTTACCTTTGCTAACTATACAGGAACTTCAAATGTTTGCGAGTGCCGACCAAGTTTTGGACGCATGTTTCCGGATCGCCCTTGCAAACGTATGTTTTTCGATTGATTGTTTTGTAACTTTGACTTTCTTGAACACATATTACAGCTACTTACACGTACGAAATGAAGATTCAAGCATACTGGGCGGGAAACCATTCACTAAAGCTGAACAACGGCGTAAAAAGTAACTCAACAGTCGAGTATCGTCATATAAATAGAGTTCTATTAGAAGCCGCTGATCGCATGGTAATGCAGTCCGATTACAGAGACATATTTCATGGAGTGCAATTAAGAAGCTTTTTTTCTGAAAAGGATACGTTAACGGCTACATTCCTTCTTCAGGTGAGCTAAACGATCAAAGCAGAACGAATTTGTTTTTAATGTATAAAATATAAATAATAATAATATTTTTTTGTTAACAGTTGTCAGAGAATAGCGATGAGTATCAGCTCACATCCATATTTAAAAGATATCTACGTCAAAGCAACTTTAGTATTGGAGGCACTGGATTTTACACTCCAAGAAATGGACAAGATGTATTGGCTTTCAAAGGTTATTATTTAGAACCCACCTGAAAACTTAAGTTTACTTTCAAAGCTCTTTCCGTTTTAGATTTTGACGAATGTGGTAATGAAAATTATAACGATTGCTCCATTAATGCTCACTGTTTTAACTTGGTTGGCAGCTACACTTGCAGCTGCAAGGAAGATTATGTGGATACAGCCGATAACGCTTTATACCCAGGGCGCCATTGCTCGGAAAATATAATCGGCTGTGATTGGTGTAACTTTAAAGGCAAATGTATAAACGAGTCCGTCGACAAAATGCAGCAGGCAATAACTACTTGCAAGTGCTATTCTTGGTACGCTGGGACAAAGTGCCAAGTCAACATAAAGATTATAATGATCTTTCTTTTTACAAGCGGCACAATTTTGTCTACCTTGCTTCTATTTTTTTACTTACTATTAAAATCAAAGCACGGCAACTTGAAATCAAGCCAACTTTTTGCTGCTGGTTCCCATTTACATCCCAGCATAATAACATCAACCGAGGGTTGTCGACCGAACAACCGAAAAAAGGGATCCAAAAGTGAATTTGGGCAGTGCATGACAGCCATGTCTAAAAAGGTAGTTTTAAATATTTAACAAATTGGATTGAGTAATTCATTTTTGTTTCTTTTGTAGAAATCCAACGGTGTGATTAATACTAATTTGAAGCATGTTGTACTTCAAAAAGCCAGTACGACACGAAACTGCAAGGCTTTTTCAGTTTGTAATATTAGCAACGGTTCCAGAACAAGAAGAGAAATTGAAGAATTCGACTTTTCTCTTAGTAGTTCCGACTATGGTCCTGGTGATAAGGACCAAACCGACCGCTCTCTTACTCTTATGATTCCTCGTGCAAAGTTTCGAATCTTTCAAAACTCCTTTTTGAACCATAGTGCTTACAGATCAACTGCTGATAATGAACAGCAAAGTGTAGTTCATGAAGATGATGTTAACCTGAGTGCCTGCCGACCTACTGCCATATCTTTTGCAACTCGTTCAAAATGTTCAACGTCGTCTGATAAACACTTATATAGAGGCATCATTACGCAAAGAGCTGATCTGGTATCTGCGGGCTTTGAGGTATCTGCCGTTGTTACCGATAAAAGTGTATTAGAAATTCCAATGTAAGTCGCTTTCTCCTTCATTACTTCCAATCAGGGTTTGAAAACGCTTTACATTACTTGTTTGGCTTTAACATTTCTATAAGCCCACGCAAAGCAACACTTATATCAACACAAGCAAAAGCAATGTTTCTAATTTAGCCGCGAAAGCTTCAAAAGCAACAGCCCACACTCTTTATAATTTGTAAAATGAAACATTTTTTAAGGCGGCCAGATTGGTGATTAAACTACACCACTGAAACAAAACCTAGTTATTTTGAAAAAACGGAAGTATTCTCGTATGGCTACTGAAGGCTAAAATCACAATACTTATTGAATATTTATTTTTTCTATAAAAAGAAACACTTTCAACATAAACAAGAAAGAAAGCAAACTTCGGCAAGCCGAAGTTCATATACCCTTGCAGCTATTGCATGAATTAAATACTTTTGAAAACATTTAAATTATGATTTACTTGAGTATATGCTGAAAAACATTGAAACTATGATGATTTGCAGCTCAATTATTAGATAGTTATTTTATATATTTTTATTATTTCTATGGGAGCTATATGATATAGACGTCCGATTTTGATAAAATTTAAACCATAATTCTAAAATAATTAAACATTGCCATATGTCGAAGAACTAAACAAAAAATTAAAAAACAGAAAAGTTACAATTTTTTTTCATTTATTTTTCCGATTGTTCCTATGGGTGCTATATGCTATAGTCGTCCGATTTTGATGAAATTTAAAACGTAATTCTGAAATATTAAACCAACACTATATCTCGACGAACTAAACAAAAAATTAAAAAACAGCAAAGTTATAATTTTTTTTCATTTATTTTTCCGATTGTTCCTATCGGAATCCTATGGGAGCTATATGATATAGTCGTCCGATTTGGCTCGTTCCGACTTATATACTACCTGTAATAGAAAGACAACTTTTGGGAAAGTTTCATGCAGATAGCTTTAAAACTGAGAGACTAGTTTGCGTAGAAACGGACGGACAGACGGACATGATCGGACTATCGTTTGTGTGTGTTGTTCTTGTTCCAAAACTGAAAAGTAGCCGCTCTTTTCAGTCGGCCGTAAGTGCTGTTTTTTGTGCCAGCAAAGCATTAAAATTATATCTATAAAAAGGAAAAATTATTAGTAGCGCAAAAAAGTAACTGAGTTAAGCGAATTCACAAATGAAAACATGTCCTTTATATTCATTTATTTACTAGAGTACATGATGCAACTTCCCTTAATGAATCATTTGATGTTGGCGAAAATAACACGAGCTCTTTAAACGAGGTAATTTTTTAACACATATACTTAAATGTAGACACCATTTATAAATTTTTTTTTAATCAGGATGCCAATACAATGACTGAAAGAGATTTGGGTTCAACCTTTTTGTTACCACATACACATCTTTATAAGCCCGACAAGGTATGAATTGTCAGTCACCTTTGAAATTTAACATGTTGCGTATTTAAATAATTTCAGATACCGTGTGATTTGTCCGGATTTAGTTCGTTATAAACATCTAGTTTTTAGAGATTTATTAAATTTATCGTTAATTATAAGTACCTAAATCCTAAAAAATAACTTCGTTAATTAGATGCGAAACAGGTCATTAAGCATAATGTTAATAAAGTTAAGATAATAAATCTGGTAGATAAATTTCGCCACAGTAATAATAATAACAATAATAAAATAATAATAATAATAATAATAATAATAATAATAATAATAATAATAATAATAATAATAATAATAATAATAATAATAATAATAATAAGAATAATAATAATAATAATAATAATAATAATAATAATAATAATAATAATAATAATAGTAATAATAATAATAATAATAATAATAATAATAATAATAATAATAATAATAGTAATAATAATAATAATAATTAACCGGTTAGTGTTCAAATTATCTGTTTCTTCGGCTGTGCTCGTGGCTTATTGGTGCTTATTAGTTGTGCCCTTATAATATATAAAATTATACCTTTCTAGGTAACAGCTTTATAGCAGCATGACACCATAATGCAAAACAACTCTCGTCTCTCGTCAATTATACAATCACCCCCGCCAACAAGGTAGAGTTTGTTTCACAGGCTAGAAATACCTATTGGACCACAAATCCAAAAAACATTAGAGATTATTGATTTCGCTGTAACAAGAGAGTGCTGCGAAGACTAATACAAACTGAAACACTTGCAGATCTGTCATCACCTGTTCTCCTGTGCGTTTTCGACCAGCCACAATTTCTAAAACGACCCACTGCCAAAAACTCTACGACCCACCCAAATAATCACATTGAGTCGCTCCCACTAGAAAAGCGCTGACTGCGCAGAGAATAGCAAGCCCAACGATCTCCAGCCACCAAAGAAAGACTAAAGACAGCTTTTCGTAAACTTTAAAAACCTTTATTAAAAGTAAACAGTTTTCTCCCAACTGCTGCAAATGTCCATTCTATGTCCACAGATAGATAAAAAAAACGGTTGTAACAATGATCCCCAAACCAGGCAAAGATAAATACAGACCCGTACTGTTCGAAACTCTTCTCTTAACACACCTACGAACAAAAGTTCGATTCGCACGCAAAGTTTTGTATTCGGCACCCTGCTTTGAAATTGCAAAGTAACAAGGCTTATTTTATTGTGCAGCTATGTGCCGATGACAAAAAAAAATTTAATAAAAATAAAAAATTGTCGTCAAAAAATGTGATATCTGAAGTTTTTGGAGTTCAAGGTGCGATCGTCGCGTTAATTTTACCTTCTCAACAGGTGTATTTGTTTGATATTAGAAGTTTTTGTTTGAAACACCAGTCTTATTACTGCAAAGCTCCGAAACCTAGTTACACTTAAGGAGGACCTCAATACCATGATAACGAGTCAGCCCTGTATGACTCTTGATCTTAGCTGAACGCTAATTACCGCTGTTCAAAAACCAAAACAAAAATGTGCCATTAAAATATACCCTTGTGAACAGTTTTATAATTTCAGTCAGAAGTTTCAATGCAGTAAAGCAGACGTTTCCGACCCTTTAAAGTATATATATTCATGATCAGAATCACTAGGACAGTCAATTTAGCCATGTCCGTCTGCCCATCTGTCAGTCGGTCTCAGTTTTAAAGCTATCTGCATGAAACTTTCCCAAAAGTTGTCTTTCTATTGCAGGTAGTAGATAAGTTGGAACGAGCGGGATCGGACGACTATAGCATATACATAGCTCCCAAAGGAACAATCGGAAATAAAAATTAAAAAAATTCGAACTTTGCTGTGTATAGTAATGATTGAATATTTCAGAATTACGGTTTAAATTCCATCAAAATCGGACGACTATATCAAATTAAGAAAGCGGGAACCGGGAAAATCTCCGCGTCGGCGACATGGTCGTCATCAAGGACGACAAGAAGTTTACTTTATTATTATCAAATCTAAAAATCTCCAAACCAGCCACACCCGGACCACATTCACCTTTATTATCAAAACCAAGATTCATACCAGCCACACCCGGACACAGACTTAATTCGCGCCATTCCAGTAAAAATCACGTCCATTTGTTTTCTTATTCATGATTCGCCTTGCCAATCCTCTCTGAACGCTTTTGTCACTTTTTTTCGAATAAGGGAGGTCCCAAACTGCGCTATGACTTTGAACACAAAATATTAATCCATTTTTGTCATCTGTTGCGAATGATAAAGTGCGCATTCGACTTTTTAAATTAATTTTGGAGTTTCAGTATTTTTTCTTTGGTAGCCTGAGTACCGCTGCTCAAAGGCCAAAACAAAAATTTGCAACCAAGTGTGCGGCAATGTAATCAGGATATTAGTTCTTGTGTGCTCATTATTAAAATTTTGATCAATTTTTTCAAATATGTCTTAGCCAGTGCTTCTAATGTTGTTATTGAAATAGCCTGATTCCATTGCCGCATTATAGGCCCTTTCCGGTTGCTATATATTTTGGTTACGGTTTCGGTTTTGCGAAAAAAATTATCGGTTCGGTTTTCATATATTAAAACCGTAATTCTAAAAAATATCTAACCATTTCTAGATGTTGAAGAAAAAAGAAGTAAAAAACAGCAAAATTATAATTTTTTTCATTTATTTTTCCGGTTCTTTCGAAACAAACTTCGGCAAGCCGTAATTTGTATACTCTCGCAGCTATTGCAAAATTTTAATATTCTTATAATCACTTAAATTTCGATTTATATGCGTATATGTTGAATATTGAATATTGAAGCTATGATGAGCTCAATTATTCGATCGTTCCTATGGCAGCTGTATGACATCGTTTCCGGTTTGATTTAAATTAAAATTATTAGTCCAAACTATCAAATTATTACTATTTCCCAGGGATTTAAACCGAATCAAATATCGGTTTCGGTTTCGGTTACTGTTACTGTTACAACCAATAAAACTATTTCGATAACGGCTTCGGTTTCGGTTCAAAAGTTCTGTTTTGGTTGCGGTTACGGTACCACAACCAAAAAATGTTTCGGTTACCGGTGTTGTGCCGGTATAAATAAAAAAAACATGTTATATTTTTTTCTATTAATGCCAAAAAGTAATGATTAGAGCGAATTAGGTTTTTGCATGTAGATTGTGTGAAGTAGAAACTTGGAGTTTATGTACATTAATCTAAATTTCATAAATCTAAACCGTAATTCTAAAGAAATACTTAACCTAATACTTAATATTTTGAAGAACTAAAAATAAAAGTTAAAAAACACCAAAGCTATAATTATTTTCATGTATTAATATCCATTTAAAAATCAAAAATTCTATTAATGTATATAAGTATATAGCTGTAATGCTATTTTTATCTCAATTATTCGATCGTTTCTATGTCTGCTATAAGATATCGTTTTCCGATTCTAATAATATTAAAAGCAAAAATCTGAATTATTAAACCATTACTGTATCCAAATCAATTTAAACAAAAAATTATAAAAGAGAATTTATATTTGTTTTCATTTAGTTTTTTTCCGGTTGTTTTCATGAGAGCTATACTTTAATTTTATTTAATTGAAGCTCAAACCGTTATTCTGAAACTATGACTTTATCTCGAAAAACTAACAAAACACTTTCAGAAATCACTTACCACGTTGAAAACTTCTGACTGAAATTGAAATACACTATACTACCAGGTAGTGTAAAAGTCGGAACGAGCCGTACAACGGATGGTGGAAGGTGGATGAGGAAATGAGGAAATGAGATATAATGCGACAATGGATCTAGGCTATTACAATATTGGCTAATTATCGAGAAAGCAGGCAAGATAATGCAATATCAATGTAGAGAGTTTAGATAGATATTAGAAAAAATTGATCAATGAATATACAAGGGCTAATAGCCTGCTTCCATTGCCGCATTATCATTTAGCTAATGCTACTTCGATAAGTGAGTGACACGAACAGCTGGTCTGGGTTTGCTTACGAAATGAATTAAAAATCATGAATATAAGCGAGTTTTACGGATATCTTTAATGCTCAGCAGGACATCCATAATACGACCGAGGCATTTACCAACTTGGACGACAAGGAAGGGAAGCTCATCGTGTTGTTTGACGGGTTTGCAAAGGAGACCACCACAATTTCTAATAAAGGGCAAGGATCCCCGTATATGTTGGGGTTTTTTCTGCCAGAGATCAAATTTCGCCATCGTTGCATAGAAAACAGATGTTGTAGTTGTAGAACGAACAAAACATCGGTATTTTCCGGTACTTTTTCTAAAATCGTTCGGGGCGAATGATTTTTTATCGCATTTATTTATCGCATTTATTTATCACATTTATTTTTAATGCGGCAATAAGCCTTATGGGATGCCCTGTGTAAGTAAATGCACTTTTGGTCAAATGCCAATGGAATCCGGCTACTGCAGTTCATATATGTAGGTTTGATTTTAAGAAAAATACCTGAACCCCAAAAAATAAACATCAACATATTACAAAATTCGCGACGTTCAAAAATGACAAAAGAAAAACTGAAAACGGGCATTGAATATGTTATTATTTCAGTTATATACATGTTTATCTGAAAGCCTTTATCTAAAATTTAGAAACGTAATTCAAATGTATCCACAGAAGACATAACAACTAAACGACAATTTAACAAAATGTTTCTGAGAAAAATAGTTAGAGTTGCTTCTGTTTCAAAGGCGTATGTTTTAGTGGAACAGTGCGAAACGGACTCTGATGTAATCGCTTATCAAAATTTGAATGTTTCTTTAATAAAAAAATATAAATAAAAAATAAATTTAAAAAATTGCTATCAACGTTTAGTATTTGGGGCTTGACTTTTTCCTGGAAACGATGCTTCTTTCTCGTCATTTTTCTGGACCCCCAATTGAGAGAAGGATTGTAGGGAAACGTTAATTTCTGTTAATTTTTTATTTTCTGTTTAAAATGCCTAAAATCTACAGAAAGTTACACAGAAATCATAGATTCAATAGTATATGTGTACAAAGTACCTTCGGACTATACATACGCTGACGAAAACCGGGCCAAAGCACAAAGCTTGGCATTGTTTTTTTTATAATGTAACAACTTTCAAAGCCGTGTTGAAGCCAACTCAAAAGCTTTAACTGAGATGGCCGTTGCATATATGTATGATCTCCCCATAAGTAGAGGCGTGTCTGGTTTGTGGGCTTAATTTATCTTTAACTTTCGCTACATACAGACTGGTTTAGCGCTTGGTTTCTTTTGTGTTAATTTCCACTATTGTTAACTCGTGACAAAGATAAATTTGATTGTTTGTGATAAGCTGTAACTCATCATAATCTTTAAAATGAGTTTTTGTTTTAATTTTGCAATTGTTGCAACTTTAGCAACATTAATACCGTTTTTTTGTACTGGAGCTGAACAAAAACTTGCGATAGACGAAGCTGCCAATGGTGGCGAAATACGTATTTTTAAACGTCTTATTCCTGCTGATGTCTTAAGAGGTAAGTATATTTATTATCCGTTTTAATACTTATTCGCTACCAAAAACTATTTTTCTAGATTCGATAAGAGCAGTTGATTTATGTATTTTATGAAATTATATATATATATATATATATATATATATATATATATATATATATATATATATATATATATATATATATTTATTAAAAAAGCTTAAACTTATATATATACATATATTTAAATCAAGCTCGTACGCCCAAGGTCATATTTTACTTTAAGCCCTTTTTACATGTGTGAAGAACAAAAATTTAAAACAATCGAGTTTTTTGCAGTTTAGACTTTTAAAAATATGATCCTTAAACGATTTTTTAAGAAATTCTAATTATTTAAGGAGATACAGCCGATTTTGTGACGTGGCGTCCGAGACATTATAAATTTTTTTAGTTTTATTTTTTTATTGTTAAAGGTTAGCCCGATGATATAAATGAAAATTTCGTTGGATCTTTTTTCCGATCTCTACAAGGGTTGAAATCATGGCAACTAGGATGTATCGTTTTTTTTTTAAGACCCCACTCCACCGGCCTGTATCGCGGCGAATTTTGTTTATTTATTCTTTCTTCTTTTTTTTTATTCCCAAAATGTCAATATGTATGTATGTCAAAAATGTTTTTCGTTTTCTTTTTATTTTACTTCAAAAATACCCCAAATTCAGGCTTCTAGACCAGAATACAACTTAAGAAGCATATAGTGACAAAAATAATATTTGTACTTTATGACATTAGCTTAAACAAGAAAGAAAGCAAACTTCGGCAAGCCGAAGTTCATATACCCTTGCAGCTATTGCATGAATTAAATACTTTTGAAAACATTTAAATTATGATTTACTTGAGTATATGCTGAAAAACATTGAAACTATGATGATTTGCAGCTCAATTATTAGATTGATTTTGTCGTCCGATTTTGATGAAATTTAAAACGTAATTCTGAAATATTTAACCATTACTATATCTCGAAGAACTAAACAAAAAATTAAAAAACAGCAAAATTATAATTTTTTTTCATTTATTTTTCCAATTGTTCCTATCGGAATCCTATGGGAGCTATATGCTATAGTCGTCCGATCCGGCTCGTTCCGACTTATATACTACCTGCAATAGAAAGACAACTTTTGGGAAAGTTTCATGCAGATAGCTTTAAACTAGTTTGCATATAAACGGACGGACAGACGGACGGACAGACGGACGGACAGACGAACATGGCTAGATCGACTCTACTAGTGATGCTGATCAAGAATATATATACTTTATAGGGTCGGAAACGTCTCCTTCACTGTGTTGCAAACTTCTGACTGAAATTATAATACCCTCTGCAAGGGTATAAAAATTATAATTTTGTAAATGGGGCTATTCAAAAATGTTGATGAACATTTTATTTAAACCTGTTTAATATTATTTTGTATTTCTCAAAATGTTACCAGGCATTGTGAAGTGGGTTTGGGTTGTGATTTTAATATATCTTTTTGACAAACCATTACAAAAATCAGCCGGCAAATGAGAAGGATATGGATTTTAGATGTGTCATTTGCAAACAAATTTTCATGTTAAAATTTTAATTTAACATATAGGGCATTTAGTAATGGCTGAATTATGATTGAATATTAATATACTTCTTTAAAATGCACAAACTCTTGAAAGTGGCTTTTTCAGGTAATCAGCGTACTGCATACATTTCTGCTAAATAAATGTTTTTAGTAATGGAATTCACCATTACCGAGGGTTTTTTTGCTATAAATTGTAATTTTTGTTAGCTTTACTATTGGTTTCCCAGACTTTGTAAGTTTTTATTTAGTTTCAGTTCAGTAAATGCAATACAGTTCTGCGCCTTTGCGTCATGTAAATAAAAGTATTAAGCCACGGCCATTTATTTAATTTAATTTTTTATAATAAGAAGTGAAAGGAACCCCTTATTTCAAAGCTAAACTTCCAGAACAATTTTGTATTTCAAATATCAGATTTTATTTCCTGGCAAAGAGTGTTCTTACTTCAGTCAAAAGTTTGCATGAGAGTGAAGGATAAAAATAAAGTGACGATTGCACCTTATACTCCAAAAACTTCGTATATCAAATTTGTATTGATTAATATTTATTTTACCAAAAAAATTAACTTGTTTTTTATTAAATTATTTTCGTAATAATATTTTATAAGTCGGACAAGAATATCACAATATCACAAAGCTGCGATAGAAACAATCGAAAAATACCGCAAAATCGTCATAGACTCACTGTGAGTCACTACAAGTGACATTGCGGACAAGGATCGTAAGCATAGGAGACTATTACATTTAGCCATAGAATTAAAAATCTGCTGTGTCGTTCCGATCGACTAATACGAGTAATACACCAATCGAAAGGTATCGCTAAAAGAAAAGGGATTGCATACCATGACTAAAGGGAAATTACTTGGATCCAATGTTCCGTTCAAAAATAATTTAAAAAAAAACTTTTTTTTAGAATATCTCAAAAAGAAAATGTTTGTTCACAAAATTTGAAGGAACTGTTTTAGAATTCTGGAATATTTCTTTTGTGTGCGGCAGGTCGGTACAAAAAACGTTTGTTTGACGACTTTTTGAAAACCTACCTTATTTAGCAGAAAAACGCTAGAAATAGCTAATGTGTTTTCAAGTGCTAATCACGCTGCCTTAAAATAGTTGGTATAAATACAATAGTTTTAAAATTATTTTGTCCTTTTTATTTAATTTTATAGACTTTTTTGCAAATTATTTAAAACGTCCCAAAGATTTTTGTTTTACTTTGAAATTATTTATATACAACACATCTTTCTTAATATTGATGGAGGAACAGACTTAAAGAAAAGTTTTGAAAAGTCTGTTAAACGAATCCACTGCTTTCGTAAAGCTTTAGTCGCTTAAAAACTTGTATATCTGGCTTTCACTGGTCCGAACTTTATTCATGCACTACCATGGGAGAGGCCATTAATATCTTTTATTATGCATTGAACTCCTTCCTCCAAAAGTGTGTTTCGTTACACTTTCCGCCTAACTCCAGTAAACCTCCATGGTTTTATATAGAGTTGCAACGTCTAAAAAATGTTAAGTCCAAACTTTTTAATAAATAACAAAATGATGCAATCTGCACCGCTTACTGGCATAACTCCGGCAGCTTTACTTGGCGGTACACATCCCGCCTCGTTATTTGTCGGTCCAAACTGCGCTGCATTGTTTCTTTGTTTAGCTGAGCACAATATATTAAGAATAATTACCAAAATCAATTATAGACCTGTTTTTTGCTCACAAGGGTTTAAAAATTCAACAAGAAATAATTGAACTTTAATTAAAATAATTAGGTTAATACTTTATAATTGCTGAAATTTTTATTATTGTGTTTAAAATAATTTAAATTAGCTGTTAAGAACAAACCGTGAGTCCTTTGTCTTTACTCATCTATATATTATTACTCGTTATCATTTTTAGATTTTCCGGCAATGTGTTTTGCTTCAACTCGATGTGCTACTGTTGAGCCCGGAAAGTCTTGGGACCTGACTCCCTTCTGCGGTAGATCTACTTGTGTACAAAATGAAGAAAACGAAACAAAGTAAAACATTATTTCTAAACTTACCATTATAAATGTTTTTCGTTATACATCTATTAATAATTCTTAGGCTCTTGGAACTTGTAGAAGACTGTGGCCCACTGCCCCTAGCGAACGACAAATGTAAATTGGACACAGAGAAGACTAATAAAACCGCTTCTTTTCCTTATTGCTGTCCCATTTTCACATGTGAACCCGGTGTTACATTGGAGTACCCCGATGTTGGAAAGGACAACGACAAAAAGAATGCTAACTGAATAAAAAATATATGTTTGGGCTAACATTACAGTACTTTATCACAATATTTTAAATACAAGTGTTGCTTTAGTCAAAAAAAAAAAGATTCAATGTATGAACAAAAATAAAGGCACTATCAAGGCACAAAGGCACCATGTTGTCGATTTTATAGTATCGTTAACCGCAACCAAATTTAGCCTGAACAGTTTTCTAGAGCTATAAACTATCACGGTAAAACGTATTACACCCTTGCAATGACGAAGACATGTCCGACCTTATAAAGTATTTATATTCTTGATCAGCATCATTAGCAGAGTCGATCTGAAAGCTGTCTTTTTATTGCAGGTAGTATATTAGTCGGGACGAGCCGGATCGGACGAATATAACATATAGCTACCATGGGATGAATCGAAAAAAAAACGAAAATAAATGAAAGCTTTGCTGTTTTTTTTTATATATATTTTCAAATTATATTAAGTAAGTTTGATGTTTTCAATAATTTGATTAATTGTTCAGCTAGTTTTTTTTTTTTTTATAGATAGATCTTGTTTATACTTTTCTCTATCGCGTCCGCCTCGGACCTACAGCAATTGTGGTTTTAAATATTTTCAAAATATTCGAAAAGGTCGAAAAAATTGTTAAAAAACCTTTTTCTTGTTTTCAAGTCGACGCCGTTTTGTTATTTAAAACATTTTTTTTAAGTGGTCGATAACGGCATCTTTACTAATAAAGAATTCATTTAATTTTTTTTCCGATCTTTACAAGATTTGAAATCATGTCAACCAAGACGCAGCAATGTTTGTGAAGACCCCACCTCACAGGGGTGTATCTCGGCGAATATAAGAATTTTTTTAATTTTTTTTTGTATTCTTAAAATGGGAATAAAAACCATACAAAGAATGTTATACTAAAAATGTTTTTCATTTTTGTTTATCTTTCTTGAAAAAAATGCGTTAAATTCAGACTTCTAGACCATTAACCGCTAAAATCGAATCTAAACCGTAACCGGTTTTTGCCTAACCGAAACCGTAACCGAAATATATAGCAACCTGAATAACCGTTACCGATAGCGAAACATAAGTACCGGTTCTGTAAAAATATATTAAAATTCAAATGCATTTCTTTAAGACGATTTTTTCAAAATACATATAATTGAAAAAAAAAGAAAAAAAGAAAGGAAAAACAAAAATTATATTCTACAAAAATGCCGCGACCAAAAACAAATCCCTACCGAAAATTTTACACGATTGACAAAGTCAAAAATTTAACTTGTATCTTCTTAGCATATATTGAAAAATATAGGATAAAAACTAGTTCGGGATTTAAATAGCCAAATATTTTTATTTCCAAAACATTTTATTTTGGTTCTTTTTTAGATTTAAAAGATCAGCCGGTCTAGCGGTATATATCTTCTTTCCATTCCTTTTTTTAAAACTCTCTTTTTAAAATTACGAATTAATAAAAGTATACTTACAATTTAAATATTAAATAGGCAGTTTCGTAAATATTACAAAAAGTTTTGGTTTAAATGTTAATATATATTATAATAAAAAGCATTTGAATAAAATATGATTGGGGTATTTTTAGAGAGCTAAAATGTTGTACTCGCTAGGATTGAAGAATTCGTTAGTTTAAATCAAATAAATCTTTATTTTACTGTGCGGTTTTATTTATTAAATTGTGCTAAAACTAAAGAAATTTAAAAAACCACTGACAGAAATGCACTGTCGATTATTTATGCTACAGCTTCTTCTTATGAGATTTATTTAGTTTTCGGCGTTTTAAAATCATATCATATAAAGCGTCCAAGCCTTCTTGAAGACCCTCGCCAGTTATAGCACAGGTCGGTTGTATATACCACCCTCTAAATTGCACTGAGTTGGAGGATGTCCTGCTATGTTTTTTGTTATGAAAACTGTTTTTAACGTCACGCTGAACTTTTTGGTCCAATGCAGCAGATTCATTGTAAGAATGCGGATAAATGAATGATGGCAATGCTCCTCCACTTAAAGTGCAGTTTTGGTCATTGCTTTCAAGAACAGGTTTTATATGAATCATTGATGAATGCAATTGACTCGCTGTTTGTTCTGTTAACGAGCTTTCTGTAATACTTTGGTTTGACACACTGCAGCCAATTAAATTAATTGTAGAAGAAGAGTTGGAACTGGTTAGCATTGATATACTCGGCACTGGATTACACAGTTCGTTCAGTCCTAAAAGTTTTTCCAGCTCCATTGCACCACACGCGTTTGGAAGATCCTGCTTATTTGCTAGTATCAGCACGGGGACACCCTTTAAATACACAAAAATAGTTTATTTAGTTTAATATAGTTTAATGTATTATTTCGTTTAGGAAATAAAGGTTTTCTAGAGTGTAAATAGCTACTAAAATTTCTTGACCAAACCGTTGGACAAATCCATAGGTACGATATATATTTAAATATCCACCATTTTAATTCTATAAGAGGGAAGTTTTAAGTACCAAACAGTTAGGTAACAAAGACTGAAAGTGTAGATTTTCATTTTTCCGCTAACAAGTTTTACTAAAATAAGTATATACCAAAAAAATGTTTTTACACATTAACAGGAATTAAAACCGAAATCAAAAATCGGTTTCGGTTACTGTTACGGTTACAATCAATATAACTATTTCGGTTACGGATTCTGTTCTGGTAAACATTTTTTAATTCGGTTGCGGTTCGGTACCGCAACTAAAACAAGTTCCGAGTACCGGTAATACCAGTTTACATAAAAATAATATTTCTAGCATTATAGCTATCTGCTATTTGCAAAAAATTAATGATTAGAGCGAATAAGATATTTCCACGTAGAATTTGCAGTTTCTAGAATGTGTATTTTTTACTTGTTCTTATTTACTTATGAACTCTTAGCAACTTCTTAAAACAAAATATTAATATTATTTACTCATCAACACTTTTTTTCACACGTACTACCTAAACTAACTTAAATTTTTCACTTTATCGAACGTGTACACTTTTCGTTTTGGATTTGTTTTGCTCGCATAATTTTTGTATGAATGAACATAATATTTTTTTCGTATTTCTTTTTTTTTTCAATGATATGCATGTGAAAAAATATTCTAAAAGGAAAGTATTGAATAGCCCTATTCTGTTGTCAAAAATAACATAAAACAACACAACACTGAATTGAATAGACCTATAATCTGGTCACATTCGGAATTGTCTCTTTCCTTTTTCCACGATGCATAGGAATGCATTCGGCGTGTGTCATCAACAGCTTATAAAATAATAACTGAAATCTAAAACTAATCTCACTGTCTTATTTGTCTTGCTGCTAAAAGATTAAAGCATATTATGGACCCAGTGTACATTTAGTGTACGGTGTAGAAAAAAAAACAAATAAAAAAGTACGGTGGTGATATTTAGCACAGACGTCTGTGAGTAAAAAAAAAAAAAAAAAAAAAATGCTTGGAGAAGGGAAAACGGGATATAAAGCCGTTCAACGGCGAAAAATACTCTAGAAGTTTTAAACGTTATAGATAATCTGGTGCTGGATGAAATGGATGAAGTATAGCGAATAGCAGAGCGGTGTGCAAAGAGCAGTCTGATAGAGTGTTTGAGCGACTCGTTTTTAAATTTTGCAGGAAACGACATGTCGTCGCGTCAAGTTCTAGGGCATTTGGACGCTATCTACGAGCGCAGTAGTTTGGCGTCGCAGTTGGCTCTCCGAAAACGATTGGTCTCACTCAAGTTACTGAGTGACACGACACTATTGAGTCATTTAACATCGTTGACGAGTTAATGTGTGAGTTAATAGCTTCAGATGCTAGAATAAATGAAATGGATGAAGTTTCTCACTTGTTGCTTACACTGCCACCATCCTAAAATAGAGCGATTACAGCTATTGAAACATTGGCAGAAAGGAAAATTAAGGAAAATGATCACAAAGAATCCATAAAAGAAAGTAAGAAGTGCAGAAGTAAGGCAAGAGAAAACAAAATATTCTTGAATGAAAGTAAGGAATTCCCGAATGAATGTAAAGAATGTGGGGTATAACTTTCCCGAGTAAAAGTACGGAGTTTAAAAATACTAAGCATCCTAGTGAAACTGGCAATAATCCAGTTATAATTGGTGATATTGAAAACATCAATAAGGATATCGAATACATAAATAGAAGAAGTGAGAGTTTAAAGAGCAATCCAAAGATATCCTAAAGTGAATACGATATAAATTTAAATACAGTTAAGTTGAATGCTCATACGGTTTTTAATGATGTCCCAACTACTTTCGATGAAATACTTAGTAGAATCCAGTTATAATTGGTGATATTGAAAACATCAATAAGGATATCGAATACATAAATAGAAGAAGTGTAAGATTATAGAGCAATCCAAAGATATCCTAAAGTCAAGACGATATAAATTTAAATACAGTTTAGTTAAATGCTCATACGGTTTTTAATGATGTCCCAACTACTTTCGATGAAATACTTAGTAGAAATGAGGAAGCTGTTAATGCAGAGTAGGAGGCTCATAAAAAAAAGAACACTTGGTTAATTGTTTAAAGTCCTCATAACAAGAATATTGTTGATATCAAATGGGTATTTTCTCTTAGATATAATGAACGAGGAATTCCAATAAAATTTGGTCCAGTTGCAAGGAATTCAAGTTTTCGATTCATATTGTCATTATCAGTTCAATATAATTTAAAAATACATCAAATGGATGTAAAAAACTGCATTTTTGAATGACACATTGAATGAGGAAATATACATGCAACTTCCTCAAGGCGTATCGAGCAGTAATACAAATGTATGTAAATTACCTAGATCCTGGTTTGAAGTTTTTGAACAAGAAATAAAAGACTGTGGTTTTGTTTATTCTCATGTGGATCGTTGTATTTATATCCTTAACAGAGGTGATATCAGGAAAAACATATATCTATTGCTATATGTTGATGACGTGGTAATAGTAACAGGAGAAATGGAGAGAATGAATAGTTTTAAAAAGTATTTAATGGAAAAGTTTAGAACGACAGATTAAAACGAAATACGTACCTTTATTAAAATAAGAATACAATTAACTCAAGTCAGTCCGCTTACATAAAAAGAGTTTGGTAGTTTTAGTATGGACGATTGCAATGCAGTCAGTACACCGTTACCAAACAAACTAAATTATGAATTGCTTAACTTTGATGAAAATTGTAATGCGCCCTTATTAGTTGTTTAATGTACATTTAACGCACAATGCCGAGTTATAGCAATGCTTATAAAGGGTTCTTAGATATTTTAAAGGAAACATTGATATGAAATTGGTTTGTATGAAAAATACTTCATTTTAAAACATATTAGAGGGATATGTAGATAGTAACTAGGGAAGAGCACAACTGGTTTCTAATTTAAGGTATTTGGTTAAAACTTTATTTTTTGGAACACAAAAAGACAAAGTTTGGTTGCAGCTTCTTCGACTGAAGCAGAGTACATGGCCTTGTTTGAAGCCGTGAGAGAAGCTTTATGGTTAAAATCTCTCCTGAATAGTGTAAATTTAAAGTTGGAAAGACCAATACAAATTTATGAAGACAACCAAGGCTGCTTTAGTATAACAAATAATCCCTCATGTCATAAAAGAACCATACATATCGATATTAAATATCATTTTGCAAGACAGCAAGTGAGAGTATCCACAGATAATCAACTTGCAGACATCTTTACCAAACCGTTGCAAGCAGCAAGTTTTTTGAAGCTACGAGACTAACTGAGACTTGCGCAAGATGACTGATTGAATCATTCCTTCATGCTGTATTTTATTTCTACGTACTACTAAGTTTTATTCAGTTCCTTTAATTAAATTTTACTTTGTTTCAAATTTTGTTTAAAGTTAGATAAGAATAGTGATCTGTCCGGGTTTTTCTGGGTTGCACCAAATGCTGGATCACAATGTATATCCCAGAATGCACACTGGCCACATTAGAATAAGTAATGAAGTAACTATTGATCTTTAAGTTTGGTTTAAAGTTATGAAATCTTGTTTTTGAGGGGGCGTATTGAATAGCCATATTCTGTTGTCAAAAATATCATAACACAACACAACACTGAATTGAGTAATTGATCAGACTTATAATCTGGTCACATTCGGATTTGTCTCTTTCCTTTTCCAAAAATTCCTGTGCATGTGGCGTGTGTCGTTAAGAGCTTATAAAATAATAACTGAAACATAAAAATATTCTAGTTCGATTGCGGTTACGGTACCCCAAAGAATAAATGTATCGTACCGGTTTAAATAAAAAAAACTTGTTATTTTATTTTCTATTAATGCCAGAAATAAATGATTAGAGCGAATAAGGTAGAAGCTTGGAGTTTATTTATATGATTAGATTGTTCGCCATTTTCAAAAAGTTCTATTGCATCAATTACCATGTCTAAAATTTTGATTTCCTTTATAATAAGACTGTTCATTTAAGAAGTCGCTCGAAGTCAAAGCAGTTAAAAGCTAAAATATTGCAACTTCTGCTACTTTGACTGCAGTTTTTAAACACTGATGCTGACGATGTGCAACTATATGCTAGTAGTTCTCTCTGTCGTATTAATGACTGTGTCGGTACTTGTAACTCTGGACCTTCAAAGCATTAGTCAGTGGGGAAGTGCAAATGGTCTAGCCTTTAACCCCAAAAAGTCAAAATGCATGAGGATTTACAAGAAGAAAATTAAAACAGAGAATTTACAACCTGTTCGAATTGAACACACGACTCTTCCCTATGTCCACAACGCAACTAAACTGGGCTTCACATTCAACAATACCATAACCTGGAACGACCACAAAAACAGAGCAGTAGGGAAAACGTACGGACTCAATGTTAGCCAGTAATATCTTCCTCCTGAAATAAGATTATTAGTCGCAAAGACCTATCTAACTCTATATCTACTACATGGCATAGCAGTTTTTGGTAGTTGTGATGCTACTAGCTTTAGAAAAATGAATGAAGTATTTAATAACATCGCACGATATGTATTTAAGCTGAGACCCCGTGACCATATTTCTGAATACGCAAATAAAATTTATAATTTGGATTTTAAATCTATAATAAAGCGCATAACTCTGACAATGCTCCACAAAATTATCCACACTAGAGAACCGTCGTTCCTGTTTTCTGAGTTAAGCTTTAACTCAAAGAACTAATAATCTAATTGTTAACCGGACTAAGTTGTCCAGTTCTGCAAATAAATTTTATTGTAAATTCTGATCGTCTCTGGAAATAACTCCCGCACCCCATAAAATTAAAAACACGCGCCCAAACATACAAATTCAGCCTAACTTCACCACAAACTCTTTTTTAACTTAAATCAATTTTGACGCAAATTTAAACCTATGTTAATTTAATTTTAAACGAAAGTGTCATTTAGAACAAGAATATTGTAGCTCCATATCATAACACCACGTGACTAGCACAGTACGCTAAGAGTTTAATTAGTCGTAGTGCAAAATAAATAAATAAATAAAATTTTACAGTCACAATGAAAATAAGAAAAATGTGTATATACAATATCAGTACCAGTACCCTGTCCCAGTTTTCACTTCCGAAAGATTCACAGGGATTTGAATTTCCCAGACCTGTTCCAGTTTTAACTTCTGACTGACAAATTTCCCTCTGTTAATTCTGTTAACTTTCTAAAAATTTAACGGAAACTTTCCGGCAGACATTTGGCTGGCGGGTTCAGATCCGCCTGCACAGAAAATAATTATTTAAAAATTCTTTGCACTTGGCTCGTAAGCAGAAAATTCCATCCGCTAAACGAGCGGACCATCCATTATTACAATACAAAGGAGCAGCTACCGGCACCCCTATATCACCACACGTCGCAACGACGACTGCTGCGAGGCACCCTCAGAATAGAGTTAATAATTTTTGTATACATGTAAGATTAGCGGCTTCGTAAGGTTTAAGTTTCTGCGTACCTGGTTATCAGGGCATTTAGCAGTACGCATTAGCTCCATTTTAGCCTCTTCCATGCGTTCTGTATCAACAGAATCAATAACAAACAAAATGCCATCGGTGCAGCTAGAGGCAATATAAAGAAATTTGACTTTTTACATAATTAAATATTTATATAATACCGTGTATAGCTCCTCCAAAGTGGTCTTAGTTTTTCTTGTCCTCCCACATCCCAAACGAGAAAATGAACTCCTTTTGCTTTGCCAATAGTGCCTTGTACCTAAAAAATGGTGTTTATGTAGTAACATAATTATCATTATTTAAAAAATGTATATATTATGTATACAAACCTTTTCACAATTAAACCCAATAGTTGGCACTGTATTTAAATACTGATCAAACTTAAGTCTGTATAATGCCGTGGTCTTCCCCGCAGAGTCCAATCCTAACATAACTACATGTAGTGTTGCCTTCAATTTAAAAATATCTTTGTTTTTTTAAGTTTGGAAATAATTTTTTAACTACCTGAGAAGGCAAAGCATCCAACAAGTTTCCATTTTTTACCAAAGGTTTTACCATGGTAGCCCCCATTCTTTTTTAAATTACTTATGCTCAATTGGATTTTCTTGTAATTCGATAACAGAAGAGGCTGCAATCATGCTACCGATTAATTTAGTCTTCATGGCTTATATACCCGCTTACACTGGAACCGCGTTATTGCATCTCTTCTAATTTGGAAATTTGATAATTTATTCAATTTCGAAGCGTCTTCCTGGTCGGTCAGCTTATGAAACCTTAAAACGTTATAACTGGCAATTACATAAAACTAAACTAAACTTAACTTAACTAAAATAAGTTTTATAAATAACATGATTCTGTAGGCGCTTTATGGCCTAGTCCCATTGAGCACCATCCAAAACCTTTTTTGAAAATGATCCGTGCCAAAAATTTCCCGGTTATTCCTTGACGGCAGTATTTACGCTTCTAGTCGAAGTTGTTTCGGTGCACCTCTGAAGCCTTGGCACGAATGAATTTGGATTGATATGAGAGGCGTAGTCGAAAGTGAAATGGGCCTTGGGAGGTTAACGCTCCCCTAGGCAGCAATATGACTAGAGAGTAGATATAAGCCATTATTTAAAAGTTAAGATAACCATTTAAGAATTAATCCATTAAAAAAAAGGATCCGAAAAAAGTACCTCCAGATCAACTCAAAAAATACCGTGACTTTCGATGGACGTTGGCTCTGTGGAAACACCAGTCCACCACCCATCACAAATCCCAACCGTTTCGCATGGATGGGATCTGTGGGAATGGGCTATCAGTGGAATTTCCTAAATGTTCCGGATGCTATTGCAACTCCGACTTGTGAATGGGCTGCTGGTTGTTTGACAAACAGATATCAATTTTAATTTATTCCGCCAACTTGCAACATATGTCTGAACATTTTTAATATTCGATAAGTATATGTATGTAATATTTAAAAGAGTAAAATAATAAATTACAATCTATATAAATGTTTTTAGCTATGTCCTCATAAAAAAGGGTCATTAAAATGGATTAGTAACCATTTGTCGCTTATTTTTCATCCGCATTTAGCCTAATGCGCATTAATTTACACTTGGAATCCCATAAGGCTAAATGTCGCATATAAAATAAATGCGATTAAAAATCATTCGCCACGAACATATTTAGAAAAATTTTTTTTTATGCAAGTATGGCAATATATGTGATTTATTTTGCATATAAAATCTATTTTGCGTAAAAATAAACAAAAGCGCAGCAAACCATGCTCGCAGGTCTTTCCCTTTGCTTTGACAACTTGGATGAAGAAGACGTTGACGGTAAACGGTGACTGTAAACGGTGGTAGAGTTAATTGGAGTTTCAATTTTTCACTGCTTTCCCTTGGTTCCGCCAAAAATACTTTAATTGTAATGTGCTACTAAACATCAAAATTTATTTATAGGAGTACCTGTTCCCTGTACAAGGCCTATCTGGATAATGCATATATCTACAACAATCTGCTGGACCATCAGCATCTCTGCGTCATTCGTGACTTTAACCTGTCCTCACTTGCTTGGGCTAGAGATCCTGAAGCTCATTCTTTATTGTCAAGTAATTTACATCAACCACATGAGATACTTATTATCGATGATCTATTTAGTATGGGCTTAATACAAGACAGTAATACTCAACGAGATTTAGTATTTTCCAAATTATTGACCACAAATGTTGTAGCAACAGCAGTCATAAACTTTAGATCCTATTTCTTTTAATAGTCAACAAGAAAGGAACCAAACTTCGGCAAGCCGTAGTTTATACACTCTTGCAGCTATTGCAAAATGTAAATATTGTTGAAAACACTTAAATTTCGTTTTATATGCGTATAAATGAAATACAAAACCTGAGTCGCTGAGTGGTTGGGGAATGCACCGGGCACGAAGCGCTAAGTCAGTTGTCCCACGCTAGTCCCGCTGACCAAGGCGGTAAAGTAATGCGGCGAGCTACGCAGCGGATGCAAAGTACAAGGTTAGTACTCTGCCCACAGCGCTGCCGTCAATTCTACTCGTCGCTGCCGATTTCGGGACTTATGCCCGGCTTTCTTGAAGAACATTTAAAAAAAATGTAATAACAATAAACGGAAGTAGTTCCAAAAATAAACCTATAGTTATCAAAACGGATTTTTAATTAATGTCAATCAACGAACGGCATCGATTCCAATAAATTAAGAAATTCTAACGAAAAATAGTCTTGTCTTTACTTATATATATGTTTAAAAACATTGAAGCTATGATGATTTTCAGTTCAATTATTCGATCGTTCCTATGGCAGCTGTATGATATCGTTTGCCGATTTGATTTAAATTAAAATTGTTAGTCTAAACTATCAAATTATTACTATTTCCCAGGGATTTAAACCGAATCAAATATCGGTTTCGGTTTCGGTTACTGTTACTGTTACAACCAAAAAAACTATTTCGATTACGGCTTCGGTTTCGGTTCAAAAGTTCTGTTTTGGTTGCGGTTACGGTACCACAACCAAAAAATGTTTCGGTTACCGGTGTTGTGCCGGTTTAAATAAAAAGAACATGTTTTATTTTTTTCTATTAATGCCAAAAAGTAATTATAAGAGCGAATAAGGTTTGTGCACGTAGATTGTGTGAAGTTTCTAAAAGTTTGAGTTTATCTATGTATATATTTTCTTATGTACGCTTATCAACTTCATATAACCAAATTTATACTATTTATTTACCGACACATCTTTTTCAAACTAAGTAAACAAACTTAAATTTTTGACTTTGTCGAACGTGTAAAATTGTGGGTAGGGGTTTGCTTTGGTCGAGGCATTTTTATATGATTTAACGTTAATATTTGTTTATGCTTCTTTTTTTTGCATCCTCTAAAGGAAAACATTTACATAAGCAGGCATTATCAAAACCGGTAAAAGGCTTCGGTATCGGTTACGTTTAATCCGGTCGCTATATATTTCGGTTCCGTTTTCGGTTTCGGTTACGGTTTTGATTTGGTTATACCGGTTAGGCATAACGGTTACGAAACTTTTTGGGTACCTTACTATTTCCAAAAGAATTTTACAAAAAAATTTCAAAAATTAAAACCGTTATCCTAAAAAATACTTAACTAGTAATGGTATTTTGAAAAATTTTAAAAAAAAGTCAAAAACCGCGAGGTTATAATTTATTTTTTAAATTTTTCAGTTGTTCTAATGGGAGCTAATTTTGAAGATTACAAGATTGGTAAATATGGTTTGACTGTTGAGGATGAGAATATTCACTCGGCTATTCGAGGCCTTGTCGATTCTTACAACCTTGACTGCTCATCTCTTGTTTTATTCAAAATCTTTTCTGTTGCCACGTTCTTTTTCCCGTCTTATTACCTCGTGGTTTTTATTAATACAAAAGGGCCAAAAGGCATTTAGGCAATGTTCAATGTAAAAAGTTCGGAAACTCCAAAACAATGAAAGTTGTATTTTAAATTAAATTACAGCTTACATTCGGTCAATCCTGACAATTGATCGACCTTGATCACAATTTTGTTTATAAACAAAAGTCCATTAAGATTGCCAACACGGTTTAAAATACCCTTATAAACTATCCTGTTCTTTAATCTCTCTCTCAACTCGCGTACATCTTGATCTCTCATTTGCTCAGCCTGTAGTAGCAACTCAATATCTCCTGGTGTAGCTGCGACAAGCCCAACGAACTCCTGACAAATATCTGCCCTACAACAAGATTCATTCGGACCAATCAGATGACTTCACGGTTTCATAAGGAACTGCAAAGTCACACAAGTTCTGTATATAAACTATAGCCAGACTCGAAGCTGTGATAATGTGACTCCGCACCTGAGTCTCTTTAGAAAAAAAGAAAACTGAATAAAGTTTACTATCGGATAGCCTCTGCCTCAAAACCACACCAAAGCTCAGTTTCAAAACTAGGATTACAAATGGGCAGGACAGGCAGTTTGGCTAAAGCAGATCTAAGGATAAGGAACGCTTGCCTTTCCTGATGTGACATCGGTTCTGTTAAAGTTTCTGCAATACTTGAATACTGAATAAAGTTTCTGAAATATGAGAAAGGCCCGATGCATGAATGCAGAGTCTTACAACTAAAAAGCTCGTGATATTCTTTAAATGCTTGTACTTATTCATTATTCGGCAAAATACATCCTGCACTTACATTATACCCTCGATAAGATTCTGAAGGAACGCTCTTTTCCTATAACTTATCTCAAGATTATGTTCGACAAAGGCGGTCTAGCAATGTTCGTTAACCGTGCGTGCCAAAATGAAGTCATCAATATACACCATAGATTAACGATTCCTAATCATATTCTGCAAAACGTTAGAAGTGAACTGTTACCTCGGTGTATTAGTGCCCAGTCCAAAGGACATGGGCCGATGGAGTTGCGTTCTGGGTAGTCACACTGGGTGCCGGCTCAGCTCGTCGGACGGGGTGGGTTCTTTGGTAACCACTCCCTCCCCTGCATAACGAGAATAAATTTATCGTGCCTTAGGAAAAAGATAGAACTCGTAGTTATCTCAAGCGCTTGACCAAATTTCGATCGGCAGCGTGTGGCTGTTCGGGGCAGGGTAACCCCTTCATACGTTACGTATGCCGATGGATCGCTGCCGGCCACTGCAATGCGATCCCCTATTGTCAATGTCGTCGGTCGAAAGTTACGTTCTTGACCCGAGTTTTTCCATTTGCGCCAGCTCCCCCTTATTAAGTTCTGCTTCACATTATAAGTTGTTGAAAAGATTTTTTCATTTGAAAACGTGCACATTTAATTGACAAATAAAAGTGTTAATTTAGGTGACAAATTTATTAAATTGAGAAGAATTCTAACCGGTGTGTATAATATTTCTATTAACGTGCAATAATACTGTTAAAATTAAATATAAATTTAAGAATAATAAATTGGAGTTAATTTATAAAAATACTACATGACTTTAAATTTAATGTATGAGGTTTATATATATAAACGTTTAAATTGCACACTGATCTTAGGTATATACTCACATATTTATATATATATATTTTATAAAAGATCGCTTGACAGTAAGTCGAACGCACCTCACTTACCTCTTTGTATTTCCATCGACAAGAGTTTTCATTGTGGTATTCTGGGCTTGGAAAATTAATTATACGCATATGCATAAATATATATATATCAGTGCAAATTCACTTAACATACTTAATAAATTGTTCAATTAATTTATATAAAAAAAATTATGGTACTTGACATTTCTTGGAATTGGTCAACGCTGGTAACTTTTCACAAACGGAAAAAACGCTTTATTGCGATACGAATTTCGAAAAAGAGAAGAGTGAAAATGGCATCGCGATAATTGAAGGTAGCGCTTCTAGGAGTGGTTTCTCCTGGTGGTTCCAATTACATATAAGAACTTTGGTCATTTGCTTGTATTTAACTGTTCATTTATTATTGATGGGTGTTGTTGATTGTTCAGACGAGTCCAATATTGCCGAAATGGAAATAATAATATATTATAGTTATTATTATAGTGCTGGCTCCTTTCTGGTAGTGATACTACGATTTTCTCCAGTTCGTCTCTGTGGTCCCGACGAATCAGCAAAGATCGCTTGTACATCCGGAGGAAATTCCGGAGCAATATAAAGATCAAGAGTTCAGTAATGAGGCACTTTAGTTATGTCCTCCTTGTAATCTACAATTTCGTCGTTGCTTACCACGTTTGCCTTCGAGGTTGTAGATCCCATGATATATAAATAGTGGGTTTCTATCGGGTTCCAAATTAGATCACTCGGGTAGGTCCTCCGCGTTTACTGTATTCGCCGGTAGTGGACCTAACTCGGTTCCGCAGTTCCGCGGTCGTTTCTGTTTCGTCTCCCGATTCTCAATTTATCTTGGACTGTGACTGCTCGATCCTAAGGTGGGGGGACCTTTTTTGCTGGTGGTATTGCTTCCGGGGAACACTTAGGTACAGCATTTCCCCGTTTTCTGGCTTAATGGCCCTCTTCTGAATTCTGCTAAGTTTCGTATTAATTGCTGTTCACACCCATTGCCTGCTGTTCTTGTTCTTGTAAATGGCTTTCTCTGACCAATTTCTGTGTTTCGCCACCTGCACTTTACAATGTCTTCTGTCTCTCGTTATTTTATTTTTTGTTTGTTTTATTCCTTACGCCGCCTTAGGCTGATCCCGTAACAAAAACAACATTAAATAGCTATTACATATATAGGAAAAATCATCAATACACACAGATATTTTTATTATTTCTACAAAACCTATTTCAAAGGTGTGACCACAAAACAACAATTATTTTACAAGTACATTATTATAAACGTTAATTTTTTTATATGTAAATTGGAAAAAGGAAATTTCGTTGTGTGTATACCCTTGCAAATATTTTTATAATTCGCAATACTTTTGATCATAATATTGCTTATACAAAATTTATTATTTTTGAGCGATGTTTTTTTCAATTACAAAAATGAAACACAAGGTAAATTGTGTAAAAGTGTAGATTTGTACAAAATACTGAAAACACATATATACTATGCAAAGCATAATTGCATACTCAGTTTTTGTTTTAAACGAGTTTGACATATCACAACATTTAGTTTAGTTCGAGTGTCCTACAAAGCTCGGATGTCATCCCTTCAATTTTTATATATTATTTAGGTAAACATTTAAGCGTTTCTTAGCATTCGAATTTAATGTAGTGAACGGGCTTTAAAAAAAGAAGAGTGCACTTCACATCTTTTCCATTGCTTTTGATACAAACCACCTTTGTGTATAACATTATTTAAGTTGCTTTGTAATAAGCATGACCCATAAAAATCGATGAAATTCGCGGAATCGGACATATACAACTTATAACTGTCGTATGAACGATGTTGGTAAATACATTTTATCTGCAAGGGTATACAAACTTCGGTTTGCCGAAGCTAGTTTATTTTTTTGCTTAATATATAATATATAAAATTTTTTTAAATCTTCATAGCTAAAAAAATTAAGATAGAAATTGTTCTTTTTGTTGTTCATCTGCATTCATTTTTCTAAACTGCCAACTTCCCAAGCCGTCGAACTCCAAAATATGTGTGTGATATTTCCTAAACAGGTATAGTTTACATTTAGTTTAAGCGATATGTGAACTTTAAAATCTTACCACAAAGTAGGCCTGTGTGTTATTGTCAACAGGGTAATTCCCATCCCTTTAGCAATTTCATAAATCGAACTTTCAACATCAATCGATACTGCACTCGTGCATTCATCTAGAAGCGCATAACGTGGTCTTGAGGGAATAAATAAATTTAAAATAGTTCGAGGTAAATATAATAAAAATGTAGCAAATTCATTGGTTCATACTTATGGTAAAACAAGCGAGCTATGGCCATACGTTGTTTTTCACCTCCAGATAATATATCCTTCCAATCGCGAACAACGTCGAAACTATCACTGAAAATGTTTGTTTGATGACATCGCCCTAATTATATGAAGTGTTTATTTCTTACCGTTGGGCGATGTGTTCGAGGCTGACCAGTTTTAAAATGCATCTTAGCTCGTTTTCAGTTATTTCTTTGCGTTTCATATCTTCACGCGTATCGGGGTATATTATTTGATCGCAAAGGCTTCCGATTGACATATATGGACGTTGTGGAATGTAAAACATACATGGAACATCTTTTACAGGCCGTGGAATTTGCAACTCTCCAGCGTATATGGGCCAAAGTCCACTTAGTATTCTAAACAAGCTGGATTTTCCGCATCCATTCGGACCAGTTATTAACAAATGTACACCAGGTTCGATGCATAATGTAAGTTTCGGTACAACTATATCACAGTTGGGTGTCACTACTGGAACTGCACGTAGGTTTATTGACATATTTCCCGGCTCATCTGAATAAATTATGCGGCCTTTTGCTATTGGTTTTCCATTACGAAACTCAATAACACCATTTGACTGATCGCTTTCCATTACACTCGTCTTGCAATAGACTCCCTGAGCGGTTTCCTCAAAAACATCCATCATGCCAGCCACGCGATAAGTATACCCAGCGAGCGACACGATTTCCTTATAAGAAGACATTAATCGCTCAATCGCGTCTGCTGCAGAAATAAGTAAATTTCTAGCTGTTGTTAAATATTGAGTTCGTTCGCTAACTCTCGACTCTGTTATGTTTGTGTCTCGAGTTGTTGCAGATCCTACATCACTGCCAGTCAGAATAGGAAGGGATACCATGATCATTCCGGTTCCGGACCAAACATACTTCATAAAAAATTGTTCAAGCATTATAAACCAAAGTTTTTGGTTAAAAATACTGGTCATTTGATTTACAAGGCGATTATATGCTTGCCGTAGCTGCTGCATCTCAACCTATATATTATAAACGAAAAAAAATAATGAAAATTGATTGCGAAATATAGTCAAAAAATGTGCTGATTTTTAGAAACCAGTAAAGTAAATGGCTCTTACTACAAACTAAGTTGCAGTTAAGACAATCAAACGCCAACATTCTTATTTTCCGATACAACATTTTATGAGGAGCAAGACAGGAATACCGGGGCCGATAGGTTAATATGCATATGCATAAGTAGCAGGGACCGTAAATATTGTAAGTTGTACCTTAAAAATCATATATTGTTAGCTTCAAATGCTTTTATACACCCCTTTGCAGAGGGTATTCGAATTTCAGTGAGAAGTTTTCAACCGAGTTTAGGAGACATTTCCGACCCTATAAAGTACATATATTCTTGATCAGCATCACAAGGAGTGTCGATCTAGCCATGTCTGTCGGTCCGTCAGTTTTTATGCAAACTAGTCTCTCAGTTTTAAAACTGTCTGCGTGAAAGTTTCCAAAAAGTTGTCTTTCTATTGCAGGTAGTACATAAGTCGAAACTAACCGGATCGGCCGACTATGGCATATAGCTCAATAGCATATAGAACAATCAGAAAATAAAATTTAAAAAAATTATAACATTGCTGTTTTTTTAATTTTTGTTTTACTTCTTCGACTTATAGTAATGGTTAAATATTTCAGAATTACGGTTTAAATTTCATCAAAATCGGACGACTATATCATTGGGATATATCTATATCATAAAAAAATATAACTTTTCTATTTTAAAATGTTTATTTTAAATTCTTTTTGACCTATTAATAATTTGAAAAGAACTATCAAATAATTGAGCTGCAAATCATTATAGCTTCAATGTTTTTAAACATACACGCAAGTTTTAATGTTTTCCAGAATATTTACTTTTTGCAATGGCTGCAAAGGTATATGAACTTCGGCTTGCCCAAGATTGCCTTCTCTCTTGTTTAGATATAATTAGCTGTAGCCAGTAAACATTATTTTAGCGAATTGATGTAAGTGGAGTGTAGTTGTTATAAAGAATTTTTAATTTTGTCAATAGCTGCAAGGGTATATAAACTCCGTCTGGCCGAAAATTGCTTCCTTTCTTGTTTTATGTTTTTATGTATTCGAAACACTGCATATGTTTTCGTAAAGCTTGCTTAAATATTAAAATCTTAACAAAAAAGATAAACCTACCTTATGGCCACCGTAAAATGCGATTTCTTCTGCATTTGTTATTATGCGGGAGTGAATGTGTCTAAGGTAACCGTACCTGTTCGCCTCTTCTGACACCAACTGTCCAAACTTCGGGGATACAATTCTTAATATGTGGGCTGTTAGGGCAATAACACCGACTGACAAAGCCGGTCCTGCATATTGGAGTAAAATTGTCAGTTATGCATGATACGTACTCATTTAGAATTAATTAACCCGTTATGATATTAGCTTTCATTTTTCTAGAGGATCTCATCAGTGCCAAGCCAATTAGCATCAGATCAAAGCATGGTTTAGTCAAGCTACTATACAAATGTGCTACCGAACTAGCGAACACGGAAATATCTTCGGTAAGTCTATAAGAATATGAATTGTTTTTAGAAAACTTTGGATTAATTTTTTGTAATCTTAAAACTCACCGATGATCCGCGTTTTCAATTCGTCCGTCCAAATTTGATACTCTATAGTAATTTTGGTTCTTAAAATACAACCGATATGAGTGGCGCACCAGTCGAGTTCTAAATTAAACATTTTTATCATATACCGTCTCAAATACTATTCTTAGTTACTTACCGAAAAGCTAGAGCAAGTTTACTCTCAAGAAATCGTATCATAGAATTTACAAATGTAGCAGGGATGGCGATTCCGAACCATTTAAGCAACACAAGAGCAAACTGTTTAATGTCTTTTCGTACTATAAATTTAACAAGGGCACCCTCCAATGCAGCGACATAAATACTAAGAAATGTTCGAGAAATTAGACAAAACGTGTGTATGCTTAGCAATCCCGTTTCATAGCACAAGGTTTGTGGGATCATTATTTTAGCTAGCATTTTCAGTTGCTTCAAAAACGCATGGTTTAGTCCAGGCTCAATAAAATTATTGTTATTTTTTTTTTTTAGCTGCTGAGCAACCAACAATTTTTCTGCCTCCGCAAGCTTTAAATCTTCTTCTGAGCAGTCTGTTCCTGATGGAGTAAGCTCCCCATTGTTGACTTTGGTTTTTGCTTTTTGAGTCCCTCCGATAGATGTGTGAGCGCTTTTTACGTAAGGGATAGTAATCTTAATGGTAAGTGCTAGTATTGCGCTGGTCACGAGGGCATAGCTAAATGCGTGTTTCGTGATACCATTATTATCACATTTTTCTGCAATACGGTCAACATATTTTGATAAAACACTCATTATTGTAGAAATCAGAACTGCGCTGGGGCGTTTTGTATAGGTCGATGGTCCGGCAAATAATCAATCAAAAATAAGGCTGAAATTAAAATTATAAAAAAATTTATAATAGTTATAAAAAATTATTATAAAAACGTTATATAACTGTTTTCCTTCCAAAGCGAGCGGTCGTGCTTTTTTGTGCGCTCCGAGTTTTTATTGTGTTGCTAATAACCCTTCGGTGGGATACATCAAAATGTAAACATATCGGTCACTTAATATATAAGCTTTTATATCTCCGTTCAGTTCGCGAACTTTTGTGTTTTCTCTTCTGTGTTTTTTCTATTCTGCAGTTTTTATTTTGTGCTCAGACTTGTGTTAGACTTGGATGCCCTTAGTGCATTATACTCCCGCTCTCTTGATCTCCCGCTCTCAAAAGTTCTAAGCGTGTAGTTTCTGCACTCTTGCGGTTCCTCTAACTGCCCGCTTACAAATTTCAGTTCCCATTCCCTGGAACAGTGGGCGTCCGAAATAATATTTAATATATAAATACAAAATTTCCGCGATTCTGCAAGAAATTCAGTCTGATGGTCAGGTCTGACCAGTCAAACATGACTTGCTGGCTATGTAAAAATTTAGTACACACTTAGTGCGCTGGTTGTACAACCTAAAAACGTGGATGACCTTTTTAAAATTTGCTTCTACATATATTCTCTTAACAACGGAAGAGCAAAGGCCAAAATGCTACCTACGTTGGCCTGTCGATAGACATATGTCTATGCGTTTTTTAATAGCTCTTTAAAAATTTCGGGGAGATGCCAAATATTACATGGGAGAGTCGATCTAGCCATGTCCGTCTGTCTGTGCGTCTGTCAGTCCGTTTCAACGCAAACTAGTCTCTCAGTTTTAAAGCTATCTGCATGAAACTTTCCCAAAAGTTGTATTTTTATTGCAGGTAGTACATAAGTCGGAACGAGCCGGATAGGACGACTATAGCATATAGCTCCCATAGGAACAATCGGTAAATAAATGAAAAAAATTAAAAGTTTCCGTTTTAAAATCATATTTTTTTTATAAAAATTAAATTAAATGAAAAAAAATATTATTTATTTTTAATTTTTATTTAACAATTGGACCATAAAAATAAAAATAATAATTACTTTTTAAGTTTTTTGGATAAATATTTCGTTCTGTCTCTCTACATCATCGACCAACGGCAGAGTACCGGCAGAGCGCCGGTAGATGATTAAATAACTTCTAAAATTATAGCTCGGTTTTAAAATTTTTGTGTCTACCGATTTATATGACCGAAACTCATACACAGAGTCCCATATCTAAAGCTCTTTTTTGAAATAAACTTGAAATTAATAGTTTGATTCGACTTTTGATTCTGATCTTTATAGGCGTTTCACCCTTACTTCTACCTGTTACATGCTTTTCAACTATTACAATATACATATACTAAAACATGCTCTTACTTCTTTGTGTACGTAATTTGCGTTTTGTTACTGTTTGTATCGGCCTCTGCCGCCGTGCTGCTTCTGCTCTGCCGGCGCTGCTTTGCTCTACAAGTTGCGGGTCTGGCCTTTCGTCTGATTCAATTTTTAAAAAATTTTGTTTTCCTTTTCGACTGGTTCACTATTTTGCTGATCCAGTTCAAAAGTGTAGACAATAATCAAATTATATTTTACAAGTGGACTCATCCTTTACTGACTGATATAACGCTTACGACCCATCGCAATCAATTACCGAATGACTGCTTGAAAACTGTTGACTGCGGCTTATCGCAAATTAAGTTTAGAAATAAATAAAAATATATTTCATGCGGTAAATCAAGTTACGAATATGAAAGCTGTAAGCACTGGGAATCATATATCATATATATATATACATTGTCTGGGAGGTGCTATTGTGTGGATCATATTTATAGTCCGATATTAAGCCTGGCTCGTTCCGTTCAAAATATATTTAAATTCAATTTTTATCAAAACAGGAGAGAAGCAAACTACGGAAAGCCTATACTTCGGCAGCTATTCCAAAAATTATATATTCTTTGAAAAATCTCTGTTTCGAATTCAATGATTTTCAGCTCAATTATTCAATCGGCAGCTATATGATATCATTATCTGATTTAAGTAAAAAAAACGTAATTAAAAAACAAGGTTAAAAATGTTTGTCTTTTTTTCGCCGATTGTTAGAATCGGCATACACATAGCATGTTTTAGTCGCCCGATCCGGTTCGTTCCGACATATACATTTAACCATTACTATATGTCGAAGAACTACAAAAAAAATTAGAAAACGGCAAAGTTAGAATTTTTTTAAATTTATTTTTCGATTGTTCCTATGGGAGCTATATGCTATAGTCATCCGATCCGGTCCGATCAATAAAATGACAACTTTGGGGAAAGTTTCTTGCTGATAGCTTTAAAACTCAGAGACAAGTTTGCGTAGAAATGGACAGACAGATGAACAGACGGACAAACGAATCGGAATATCAGTGTTTTAAAGAATATTTAATTTTTGGAATAGCCACAAGAGCTTGGTGAAGTTTGCTTCCTTTCTTGTTATTAATCTCTTATAGTTGAGTGCATCGATTATTAAATACCCGACTCTGAGCTAACCTCAGAGAACAGGCTAACTACACAGGGAGAATACTAAAAGCTAATAGCGGGCCTGTTAGTTTTATAGCCATACTGATGAAACCTTACCAAAATCTTTTTTCTATTGGAGGTGGAAAAATTAATTAAAAGTTATACTTTGATGTACTAGTTTAAAAGTATTATTAAAATCGGTTCACGATATCATGTACATGACTTAGGAACAAGCTTAAAAAGTTTAAAAATTGAAGTATAGTTCTTTTATAGAATAATTAAACTTTCATACAAAAAATAAAATGTCGCCTTCGGCTAGCAGAAGTTTGCATCCCTTCTTGTTAAAGTTAAGGTATTGAAATTTGTATAAAAACAAGAATTTTTGAAAAAGTTTAATCAAGTCAGCTCTAAAGGTGAAAGACTTCTTTGAGTACTAAAAGACCGATGGAGAGATATTTATATTTGATTGGAACAAAAGAGACATCTTTAAAAAATATGATTGTTCATCGCAGCAACTATTTCTTGTGTTGACAGTAAGGTTTCTTTCCTTTACTTTACGCTATAAAGTTCAATATATTTTGTAACAATTACCCAGAAAAGAAAATAATGTATGAAAAGAAGTTTTCTTTTTTTGTTTTTTTTTGCAACTGTTGTATTCTTATATAACGATAAGCAGCCACGAGATTTGAGTCCGTACTCACCGCGCGTTGAAATTAAACTAGTTAGCAATTCTTTTAAAAACTTTTTCTCAATAGAAATACCTTTGCCTTGATAGGTGTCCAACATTTTTTGATAAGAACCACTCACTGTTTGCCCCTGCGGATATCTAAAAATAATTTTCATAATTAGATTTACAAAAGGCTTATCTGTCGTAAGCTTTCTTCCTAAAACAAAAAATAGTTTCGAACAAGACAAAAGGATATATTCATATTCCCATATATATTCGAAACCATAACAAAGACAAAAAATGAGAAATAGATAAAGAAAAAGTATTAATCTTAAAATGGTATAAGCGGATTAGATTAGCAGAATGGTCAAATAAAAATTGCACGGTGTACCACACAAAATAATAAAGGCAATAAAAAACTGTCAAATGTCCCGCGAGAAATAATTTAGTACTAGATGTAACATTATTTTGCAGCTCAGTTGAGAAATATTATTGATATTTTTGATTTCAGTTAATAAAATTAATATCGATTTGCTAAAAATAAATATTAATAGTGATCAGCAAAAAATTATATATATACCCTTGCAGCTCTTGCCAAAATTAATATATTCTTTAAAACATATAAATTTCGATTTCGATTACAAGGCTAATTGAATAAATATTAAGTACTTTTTTTTATGAAACAAAAAATAGTCGTCACAAAACGTGATATCAAAAGTATTTGTAGTTGAAGGTGTGATAGTCAAGGTTATTTTACCTCGTCAAGAGGTGTTATTGTTTGATATGCTATAATCAAACGAATTTAATGACATTTAAATCGTAATTCTAAAATAATAATTAATACTATATTTGGAAAAACAAAATAAATAATTGAAAACAGCAAAGATATATTAATTTTTTCATTTATTTTTCGAACAATCCGGCGCGTTCCGACTTATGTACTACCTGCAAAAAAAAGACAACTTTTTGTAAAGTTTCATTCAGATAGCTTTCAAACTGAATTTGCGTAGAAACGGACGGACGGACATGGCTAGATCGACTCTCCTAGTGATGCTGATCAAGAATGTATTTACTTTATTGGGTCACAATAAGAATTATGTTTGCATAACCTTAAAAAAGAGGATCGCTATATAGTGTTATTTGAAAAATGTTGCCAAAAAAGACTGGTGTCAGAATCATTTCTAGACTGTAATTTTATTTGACAGACAAAAAAAGCCAATTTTATGCCAGCTGGATCAACCTTTCAAGTTTTGTGGTGTGCAAATTTAGGAATTCTAGGAAAATATATATTCGATGAAGAACCGTTAATCACATTTTGAACCACAAAAAATCGAAAGGCAAAAATTGCCGTTACAAAATGGATTAAGAAAACATTATTTTACCACCAGTAATGGGGAAAGATTGGCTTACCACCAGGATTATTTATTATTATTATTATTTATGTATCTGCGAGTATAGTACAATACTGTTTCTTTTAGTTGGCTTACAAAAAAGGAAAACCTATTACCCACTAGATTAATGTGTATATTAAAACTCCATAAATTAACCTTGTCTGCTTGGTTTTGGAGTTTCAAAGCACAAATAAGACGAGGGGGGAATGATAAATAGCAGTCAACTTAGAACTTTGCTGACTGAAAACAGCAAGTGGTGGATACACTTTTAATAATTTTTTCGTAAGAGGTCACCACATGTGACTGCCCGTTTTTAAGCATTTTTTTTGGGATTTATTTTTGTGGAACCAGGAAAACGTCGAACCTCAAACTTTCTTTCTATATATGTATTAAGTAACGTCTTAACAAAAGAAAAAAAGAAAAATGCATACAGAGATTGACAAAGAAT